TGGGATTTGAACTCATGACCTTGCGATTGCCAGGCAGGCGCTTGTGCTGCTGAGCTTAACCCTCAGCCCAGCCCAAGCACGCATATTTTTAAGCAAGTAATTAAAATCTTTGTATCCTTTCTTCATATTTGCTGTACTTAAGGATCACCTCCATGGGAATTTGTGCGTGACCAGAACAGTCTTAATTCTTTTCCATCCCCTTCCCTTCGCTTCCTCTCCTGCCCCCCACCTCTTGGTCCTCTCTGTTGTTTGTGGGTTTTTTTCTTGGCCCTCTCTGTAAACAAACTACTCTGGCCTCATTTCACAAGGTGAGTGAAGCCCTGCCCCCCTCTCTTCACTGAGCGAATCCTAGAAACTGCGGCTCCAGGTCGCAGCAGTGTCCTCATCGTCCGACAGGGGGCAGCAGAGCCCGGGAAAACCGGGCTGGCGCTTGTGCGGGACGACCAGACTGGTGTCAATTTTAGGAGAAAACTGAAGGTCTTGGTTTGGGACTGAGCTTTTGTTAACTTCATATGATTTGCTGGGATTTTTGTTTTGTTTTTTAAAAAGACTTGAAAAATAATACAGAGGCTGAGGCAGGAGGATCATGAGTTAGAGCCCAGAGACCCCGTCTCAGAATAAAATTGAAAAGTGAGGTGGGCTGAGATGTGTTCCTGCGTGGACAAGGTCCCTGCTGAATGCACTTGGTGAGCATTGCACACGTGGACTGATAAAGATACAAAAAAGTAATCAACGAAATGAAAAAACCTCCTCTCACTTTGTTATAAAGTCTTTAAAAAGGTGGGCACTTTTGGCTGGTGACTTGTGAATGGGCAGTAGGGCACGACACAGTTCCAGATTGGGTCGCGTGGCACCATGCACAATCACTGTGACCGCACCCCGCTGCCCAGGAGCACCCGGAGCAAGTCTCACAGCCATGCTGCTCGCAGATGCTGGCCCCAGAGTCGCCTGCCCTGGCTTACGCCTTGGCCCTGCTCAGCTTCACCCCTTTCTGGTCTGGTACCCAGTTTGGGCTTGGTGTGTGGCAGAGAGGACACAGCACACGTGGGCCCGGTCACTCTGAGGGCACCCGGTGGGGGAGTCTAGACCTTGATCTGGTTGTTGCCTGGTGATGCCCAGAGCCCACCTGACCCCAGTGTGTCCTGGCCCATAGGACAGGATCAGGGCAGGCTCCATGTCCCTTAGGGAAGTGCAGGCTGGGGACAAGGATGTAGCTTCTGTGGCTGTGTGGGATGCACAGGCAGGGGACACCCAAGCCAGCTGCTGTAGTGGACAGAGGTGTGGCCCACAGCCCATGGTCACTTGCAGCCCAGACTACAGAGTCCTGGGGACCCAGCCCGGAGTGCGCAGTCCTGGGGGCCCAGCCCCCAGAGTCCTGGGGGCGAGCCCAGAGCACCCAGTCCTGGGGGCCCAGCCTGCTTCCCCGCTGCCCCCGTGGAGTGGGCCTTTGCTCACCAGGTGCAGATGCAGGTCCTTGGCAGAGAGGATGGAGATGAAGATGGTACCGCGTCCAGCGAAGGACACCAGCTCTGGCTGATGTGGCTGCCCGAGTGCTGCAAACCTGCACCAAGAAAGGTAAAAAGTGTCACAAAGATAAAGCAATCAGTTCACAAGTGTGCTGGAAACACCCCTTCCTAGTGGCAGGCAGAGCCTTTCCTGCAGGCACCCCATCGGGCAGCTGCAACAGCTCGTCTGGGTGTCGGGACAGCAGTTCCTGAGGGTCAGGATGGTCCCCCAGTGAAGCCAGGGACTTCGAGGGTCTCTGTCTGCTGAGAGGAGACGCCCCCCCCCCCAGCTTCTGCCCAGTGTGGTACCTGGGACCACGTGCCACTGGGGCCAACAGAACCAGGACAGCCGTGAGGGCCACGTGGGGGTCACAACCTGGAGCAGAGGAGGGGGGTGGGAACAAAGGGCCTCTCTTGGAGGCTAAAGCGTCCACAGCAGGGGGCATGGGCCCAGGTGAGGGGCATCCCCTCTCAAGGGTTTCTGTTGCCATGGCAACCTGGAAAGTAGATATTGTTGTGCCCCTTTAGTGACTCCAGGAGGCTGGTGTTGCAGCCCTTGGGGTCACTATACACATGGGCACTGTCACTAGGTCCTTAGGAGGGGCCTGGATTTGTACCATGCTGTCTGGGCCCAGCAGCCACCCTGACCCCCTGGCCCCGTTTCCTCCACGTCTCCCAAGTCATTGGGCGCTATCCTCCAGGGTGCAAGGTGGTCTTCGGGTCTTACATGTCCTGAGGGCTCAGGGCTTGAGGCACTGGTCCAGAGATGCAGCCACTTGGGAGGCCCGGCTGAGTAAGAGGGTAGGTCCCCCCATGGGCTCCTGTGAGGGACTGGGGAGAAGGTGGTGGCCACGGCTGCGCCACCTCACGTGCTCTGCAGGGGACTGCAGTGGCACAGGGACTCTGAGGGGAGCTTAGCCCCTCTTCCTTTCCCTCCACCTGTACCTTCCAGGGTGTCTGGCATGGGTGAGGCGGGTGAGGCCGGCTCAGGGCTGCTGCGCAGCGGGGAACTCAAGAGGTCCCCACCTCGGCTTCAGAAGCCCACTGAGCTGGGAGGACCAAGGACCACATGGGTCAGGGAGGGACAGGGACAGCCGCTCCAGATTTACAACTGAGCCAGGAACGCCCAGTCGAATCCAACAGCCAGGCCCTTGTCACCAAAGGGGACACACGGAGCGGGAGGGTAGCTTTTCTTTTCAAGTGCTCAGCAATTTTACATTTTAAATTCTGAGGCAATGTTTCTTGTGTTTGACCTTTCTTTCTTTTCTCTTGCTTGCTTGCTTCCTTCCAAATCAAGGTTTCTCTAAATTGCTCAGACTAGTTTTAATTCCTGGGCCCAAGGCATCCTCCTGCCTCAGCTTCCTGGCTATCTGAGATCCAGGTGTGCCCACCCACCCTCCTGGAGGCGATGCTCAGTTTCCGGAGCTGGAACAGCGTCAGAGGTTCTGTGGTCCAGCTGCCCCTCCCCCAGGAGTAACCTGGGACTCAGAGGGCTTCGCATGAGATGCGGCTCTGCCGTGTCGCCAGCTCCAGGCCCCTGTCTGGGGATGGCGGTGCTGCCACAAAAGTGTGTTGTGCTCGGTCTTCTCTGCAAAATGACGAATTTAACATTTGCAGCAGGGTGAAAAATAATTTCCAGCCGCTCTCCTTTTCCGTTTTATTTCTCATTTCAGTGCTGGGAGTGGGAAGAGGCGGAGAACACTGCGAGCTGTGGTTAGAAAGTGAGGTGGTCCGCAGGGCCGAGGGGGGAAGGGCACAGACAGGAAGGGGAGAAGCGGCTGGAGGCGGCGCCACAGTGCGGCCACGCCACGGTGCGGCCACACCACGGTGCGGCCACGCCACGGTGCGGCCACGCTAGGGCACAGGGACACAGCACGTCCGGCTGGGAGCTGTCTGCACTCTCCCTGCCCTGGCCTGAGCTGACTGGGGTTCCGGACCCAGGGCCTTTGTCTCCCTCTGTCTGTCTCCATTCCTTTCTGTCTGTCTCTGTTTCTGTCTCTGTCTCTGTCACTGGCTGGGATGGGACCCGGCCCCAAGCTGTTGCACCTTGGGATGAGACAGGGCTTGGGGTGCAGGGAGGGGCTGGAACAGGGCGAGCTGCTGCCCACTGCACTGGAGCCACCTACCCCTGGGCACTGGACAGTCTGGGCACAACCCTTTCCACAGGTACCTCATCCGCTCAGCCTGGGAGCCATCACTGAGTGTCTCCGATTTCTAACAGAGAACAAGTCCAAGAGAAGCCTGAAAGACCAGGGTGTTTCTTTTTAATTTTTATTGTGTTTTTTTGTTTGTTTTGAGAACAGGGTCTCCTACGTGGGTCAGGTTGGCCTTGAACTCACCCTGCAGCCCAGACTGGCCTTGAACTCTTGATCCTCCTGCCTCAGCTCCTGAGTGCTGGGAGTCTCCCGCTTTCTCAGGCCATGATCCCAAGCAGATCTAGCTCACGTCTCCCTGTCTGGAAGTGGGTTACTGGACAGGAGGTGGAAGAGCAAGGTTAGCGTAATGAGTGTGGCCTGTGAGATGGAGCATGGTGGCCGGGAAGGTGCAGGCCGTGGGGCCCGGCTGGGGGCCTGTGTCCCCCATGTGCTTGTGGCTGTCAGCTGTGCGCAGTGCGCTGAAGCAGAGCCTCTTGCTGCTCCCCGTCTCTGCTGCTGGCCCTCTGCCTCCCTGGCCATGGCTTCCACATAGTTTTCTTTGCATCAGCCCCAGCGTCTACTCTCTTGAAAGCGGCCTTGTCCAGCCTCTCTGCAGCTGTTTGCCTGCGGGGCCCTGGCATACGAAGAGGAGGATGGGAGCCGCCTGCTACCCACAGCTTTGGGAACAGCTGGAACTGATTTCCAGCCTCCGCATCTCACATTTCACACATGGGCGGACTTTACCCTCGGAGACAGCCGTTCCAGAGCTCTGCTTCTCTGATGGGACAGACTCCTCTGTCCACCTTCACTGGGCTGAGGGCTTTAAACATAGGTCCTCATCAGAGCTGTGAAGGAGACCCTGAAAAGCACAATGCAAGACAAGCAATCTCGTCACCGTCAGCAAGTGTGACCTCTTCTCCACTCAGCCACAGTGACCTTCCCAAAAAAAGGGGGCCATGCCATGGTCCCGGGACGTCCTGATGGTGGCTGTCTGGGCCCCACACAGCCAGGTCCGTGCCTGTCCTTCACGTTATGTTTCCTTCCTGTCCCATCTTGTGGTGGCCAGCCCTGCCTTCCTCTGTGTCCAGCTGCCACTTTGCCTTTCCTCTGGCACTGGGTGCTCTCTGTCTCAGCTCCCGTGTGCCCTGCCTGGGCCTTTCTCAGGTGTATTAGTCACCTTCTCACCAGACGCTGGAACTCGAAGGACTGATTTTGGCTGAGTCTGCTGGCTCTAAGGAAGGAAGGCGGGTACAGGGCCTAGAGGAAGAGCAAGGCTCACCACGGGGAACAGGAAATGGGGAGGAGGGTGGAGCCGGGGAGGGGTGAACCCTTCTAGGCCACGCCCACAGGTCCACGGCCCCTCCCACCAGACCCCACCCCTAACAGCAGTCAGCTGGGAGGCTCCAGCTCTCACCTGTGTGCGTGGTTTTTCTTGAATCATCCATTTAGCAAATATTTGAGCCCCTCTGCCCCAGAGGAGTGACATGGCCTCTGCTCGCTAGAGTCCCCTCGTTGTGTCCCTGTGGTCAGCCCTCTGGTTAGCCGCATGCTTGGGATGACAGGGAGGAGCAGGCACTGTCAGCTTCTACAGGACAGGAGGTGCCCTGAGGCCCCGAGGCACTGTCCCTCATCTGGCTTCTGCGGAGACTGTGCCAGGCACTGCCACCTTGCAGGGATTCATGTCACCAGTGGCCTGGGAGAGCCACGCCCAACGTGAGTTTTGGAAGACGGCCATGTGATGTATGGGGCTCTCAGAAGAGCAATCAAGGTAGGGTGGGCATCCAGAGGGAGGGGAGGTCACGGGGTGGCGAGCAGGACTTCAGAGGGCGAGGGAGGGGATGCGAGAGACGATAGGGGTCTGGCCAGTGGGAGCCACAAGGTGCACAGGGAGTGTCCTCAGGTCATGCCATGTGCCACATGCCATGTGCCACATTGAGGAGGGAATAGGCTGCTGTGGGTAAGCAAGGGAGAAGGCAGATGAGGCCATGCAGCCTGTGGCAGCAGGTGCAGGGCTGGGGTTGGGTGTCTCTGATGCACTAGGCCTGAGCCACCCAGCTGGGGTCACCAGGAACACAGGGGCAGCTGCAGGTGCCGGAGGCCATGCAGACAGCAAATCCTGTGGGGATGGGTTTCAGTGTGCGGCTGTGTTGGGGGTAGGGCCCTGGGATCCATAACACAGTGACGAGGGCTCCTGGGAGCCTCGAAGTGAGGGCTCACCAAGGATTCCATGGGAGAGGGAGGTAGCACCACAGCCTCAGAGAGGGACACAGGGCGGTTTGACAAAACCCCAGTGGGACAAGGAGTCTGCACGCAGCTCTGTCACTCTCCACAGTGACCCACGTCGTCAGTAGGGTGGAGGAGAAAAACCAGGTCACCTGTGACATCATTCAGTACAATGATAAAAGACATTTGACAAATGTGGTATCATTCCCGATTTTAAAAAGTTTAAATAGAGTGCAGTAAACCAAAAGTATAAACAAAGAGCAAAATAAAAAGTGGATAATAGGAAACAGGGAGGCAGATGCTCTACAAAAAGGAAGGGGCCCAGGCCAGGAAGGGAGGAGGGAGGAGAGAGGAGGGAGGAGGGACGAGGGGGGAGGGGGAAGGGTGTGGGCAAAGAGCAGAGCTGTGTCCACTCACAGCTCCCCACCGTGAGGGTGACCATTGCATGCTGCAAACACGGGCCAATACAAATAAAAATTAAAATTAAACAATAAAGCCACAAATTCTGTTATTTAAAATGAAAATTTATATACTCCACTAGCAGACATTTGTATATCTAGTATATATAGATAGATAATACCAAGACATCTACCTTAGCCTAATTACTGTCTCATTGTGCAATAAAAATTCAATACTCCTTATGAAAAAAGCGTGCAGAGACCTGGCACACAAGGACCCGTCTCAATCCGAGCAAGCCTGCTCTCTGCAGTCGGTGACATGGGACTGAAAGCCGTGGAGACACACGCAGGCTGAGGGCACAGAGGGCTCAGATACCCCAGCATCCCAGGGCCCGGACTCCAGCACCTCAGTCCTGAGTGGTCTCCACCCTGTCCACGGTGAGGGGTAAGGCACACTGCTGAGGTGGCATCTGGGGACCCTGGGGACGTGCGTGGCCAGTGAGGGATGGCAGGTGAAGGGCCACACATGGCCCCTTCCCTTGGCCAGAGCTTGAAGGGAGGGTGGGAGGACTGACCTGTCTGTCTGCGAAGCAAAGCCGCAGGTTGTCAGTGGCGAGGCCACAGCTCACAGCCTAACCTGGCTGCTCCCGTGAGAGCTGGGCCAGCAGCTCTGCCCTGCGTGTGTCCTCTTGGCCCAGACTTGGACAGGACGGTGATGGGGAGGTGGGGTCTGGACTCACACCTAGAGCTGAGGTCATTTGCACCGTAACGTAGTGGTCTCCTTGACAAGAGCAGAAATATCCAGAATTTACTCTGAGCAGTATACTGAAACCAAGGCATTAGAAAACCCTAACTTACATCAGGCAGGACTATAAAACAGCCCAAACCTCATGACGCCCTCTGTGTAGGATTCTGTGAGTTTGTAATTACCATCAGTCTGACTGTGTTTGTTAGGGACACACTTAGAGATTAGCTCTAATCAAATTGACTCCAGAGGCTGAGGCAGGAGGGTCGCAAGCTCAAGGCAGTCTATTGAGAATCTGTTTCAAAAATTTTTGAAAGGCCGGGGCTGTGGCTCAGTGGTGGAGCAGTTGCTAAGATGTGCAAAGTCCTGCTTCAGTCTCCACTACTGCAAAACAAACAAACAAACAAATTCTGACACAATGCAAATGTCAGCATTCTTTAGAGGAATCTGCAAAGTGTCCGGAGGGGAATTTTAGGGCAGGAAATCCTCGTGGGTAATAAGCAGGTAAACAGTGCTACTGAAGACACAAGGCGTCCATGGCTTCCGTGTGTCAGCTGAAAAAGTGCTTACCAAGTGACTGAAGAAACGCAGACCGAAGGCTCCACCGTCAGATCGATGAAGACTTTGGGGCTGAGGAGAGTAGGGCAGAGCCGGTACCTGGGTAAAAGCTTTCTGGAAAGCGCACATGTCCATTTATAAATCCTGCATGCCACGTATCCCAGGCCTTCCACTTCTGAGAGTGTCTAAAGAATAATTACACAGCTGGGTGTGCTGGCACATGCCTGCAAGCCCAACACTCGGGAGCCTGGGACAGGAGGAATGCTGTGAGTTCAAAGCCACCCTGGGTCCGATAGTGAGTTCACGGGCAGCCTGAACCTACATAGTAAGACCCTGACTCAAGCAAAGAATTCCACGGGCGTATGAACTGTACCGTGCTGTGCAGCCGTGAAGAAAGGGACCCACTGAAGAATATTATAGAGACACAGAAGGCTGAGCTTCCACTGGCAGTGCGCTATGACATTATTTTCTGCAAAGGTTTTGGGATATACTCAGTAATGGGCTGGAAGGTCAGTGAGGACTGTCTGCCCCACCTTTCCGTGGGGAGCTGAGGTAGGATGTGGGTTTGGCTCTCGGCCTGAACAGAAAGCTGCTGCCCATGCTGCCCTGCGCCCGCTCTGTGTCTCACTAAAGAAAATGTTCACCCCCCCTTAGAAATGGTAAACTTAGCACAAGGCTTTCGATTGTTGGAGGAGGGGAAGAGGAATCCCAAGCTGATCAAAGAGCGCAGGAACTGGAATCTCGATTGGAAACAGATGTTCTCCGAGGCTGTCTCCTAACTGTGGTCAGCAGGCTTCGCCTGGCCGCCCAGCTGTCCAGCAATTCTCGGCAGGCAGCGGGGCAGGGACGAGAGGCAGAGATGAGTGTGCGGCAAGGGTTGTTCTGGGGTACTGCGTGCGAGGCCCCTGTCGAGTTAATTCCAAGAAACCTGCTGAGTAAGTGCCTCGGTCACAAAAATGAAAGAGCAGAGACCAAGAAGTCCAAGAACAGACCTCGCAGGCGGGCTGCTCCTCCCGGCTGCCTCTGTGGTGTTCAGGGAAGCAGCACTGACAGTCCCCGCGCACATCAGTGTCCATGATGATTTCCTTTCTGTTTTGTGTTGTGTTGAGACATGCTCTTGCTATGGATGGAGCCCAGGCCGGCCTTGAGCTCCTGAGCTTCCTGCCTCAGCCTCACAGGTGCTGAGATTACGCACCTGTCACACCTGTCTACAGCTTTCTGGGTATTGAAGTATTTGCACACTAACTGTACACATTCCCTGCCCGTATTGTCCCCAGCCCAGTGTGCCCCTCGCTTTCTTCTGGGACCCCCACAATAGAGGGGCCACCAGCATCTTCCAGGGCCCTCTGCTGGGCAGCGTGGGGCTCAGCCTTAGGCACCACCCTGTGCCTGTGTGGTGGGGACCCACGTGAGAGCAGCTCTGCTGGTGATGGTGCCATCATCACCGTCTCTGGTTTCCTGGGTTCTAGGTTTCCTCCCGAGGGAGTTAAGAGTGCATCCTGGCACCAGCTTGGCCCTCTCTGTGTCTCTGTCTTCTCCTCTCCCCGATGCTTGGCTCTGTCAGCTCCAGGGCTGGGCCTGGCACATGGCCCTGGGGATGTCGTGGTTCTAAGACAGCACTGGCTGCATCCCAGGAGGAGCAGAGCCTGCTCTCAGGAGTGACGCTGCCGTACCCTCCTCGCTCTGTCTTCTGTCCACCAGTCTGAGGCTGAGGCCTGGAAGCTCCCTGGAGCCAGTCTGAGCTGGAAGATAGGAAATCAGAGAGCTGTCCAAAAGCGGTCCAAAGGACATCTCCAAAGAGATGTCCAAAGGTGGTAACAGCAGAGAGGATGCCAGCTCGGAGAGGACAGAGTGCTTCAGAAGCAGCTGGTACCTCCTTTCCCTTTTTATTCCATCTGGGTGCAAGCCTATTGGTTAGCACCCCACACCTGGGGTGGGTCTCCCCCCACAGCGTGCTGGCCTGCGCACCAGTGACACTCAGTGCTGGACTTGACTAATGTGCCAGGCGGTTCTTACTCCAGTCAAGTGAGTGTCACCACTAACGGTCAGTCCACCCCTCATCAGGGACGCCTCTCCGTAACCACTCAGCCTCCAGATACAACAGCAAGCTCATAGTTACACCCAGCACATACAACCACCCTTGGCACAGATGGAGAGGCACCAGTTTCCTCCCCAGAACAGAATCTTTCTTATTCCTCTCCAATATTTCAGAATTTAAACATTATAGTGTGTGTTTAATGACACTTAAGTATTGATATTATGTCAATCAGTGTTAAGTGACAGTTGGAGCCACTGAAGTTGAATAGATGTGCAGGCCCTGTGGCATGGCTGAACTGAGAATGAGGAGACACCTCAGGGGGCAAGACAGGCCACAGCTGAGGCCACCTGGAGACTTTCTGGATGGTTTTCCTTAATTAGCATCATCTGTTGCTCTGAGGGGTCCTTGAACCCCGCCCACGGTCCTGCTCAGGTTTCCTCTGTTGTCCACTCAGCTCCTTGCTTGTTCTGATTAAATACGGGCTGTCCAGGCTCTGTCGGCCGGCCAGCCAGCGGAGTTACCGGCTCTGCCAAGGATCTCACTCCTCCTGCAGCCTAAAGACCACGCTGCATGTCTCATTCCTTAGGGCGTTTGCCGTGCACCCGTTTGGGGAATTGGGATCTAGGCACAGACCCCGACAAGTGACAAAGAAGAAAATATCATGTATCTGCTTACTACATGTGTGCGCATACAGACACAGGTTAACAAACCAGGAAGGAAATAATTACGCCGATTGTTTCTGTAACTGGTCACGCGATCATAACTGGCGTTGATAGCTACCTTATTCTACTGCCCACCTGGTATTCCCTTGACCTTCTGCCAGCACCTCAGCAGGTATCGGTTCTTTCCTGGGTGGGGTGACCCACTCTTTACTTTGAAAATTCTGGGCCAGTTGTCATCCTGCCTGGGTTGGGTTGTTTGAGTTTCCCATGGACCTTAACAACAGGGCACGGTAATACCAGGGAGCCATCTCAAGGATCTGCTGCACTCTGGATGGATTCTTTAAAATTACTTCTGTTGGGAAGCAAACATTCAACTTCCTCTTGTTAGTGGGGTTAGTCAGTCAATTAACCCCTCTAACACTGTAGCAACCTGTTAGCATGGTGACTCAGAGGTGTCAGGAGCCCAAAACAACCAGGAGAAGTCTTAGCCCAGTGGAGTTGTTGTTTGTGCCTTCCTGTCTGTAACTAAGACTTCTAGGCCAGCAGAGAAGAAAGTTACAGGAATGGGAAGCAGAGATTTTGCTAGTGGATTCCAGAAGTGATGGGGAGTGGTGCCATTTTCCATTTCATCCTTCGCCTTCTGGACCAGTGGGTCCTGGCTATGGGACGCACAGCACCATAGAGCGGATGCTGATTCAGAGCATATCCCGCCTTGGAGAGCCTGTCCAGCCTGCAAGGTGTTTCCTCCTGTCTGGTGCGGTGATTGCATCTTCTATAGACCATGCTACCATTCTGTGAACCAAGCTGCTTTTAGACCAGTGAGTCTCATGAGCAGGAGCCCCTAGCCTCACTTCTTTGGCTGTGAAGTGTGTCCCTTGGTCAGAGGCAGTGCTCCGTGGAATCCCGTGATGGTAGGGAGGCATTCTATGAGTCCGCGGGTGGCAGTTTTGGCAGAAGCGTTATGTAAAGCAGATCTGTATCCAGTGGTACAAAGCACTTTCCTTTCCATGACAGAAGTGGTCCAATATAATCAACCTGTCACCAGGTCACAGGCTGCTCCCCCAGGGAATGGTGCCATCTCGGGGACTCAGTGTTGGTCTCTGGCACACTGGGCATTTAGCAGTGGCTGTAGCCAGATCAGGCTTGGTGAGTGGGAGCCCATGTTGCTGAGCCTGTGCATAGCCTTCATCCCTGCCACCCTGGCTGCTCTGTCCATGGGCCCACTGGGCAGTGACAGGCCACCGAAGACAGATACTGACTGCTGTCTAGAGAGTGGCCATCTCATTGCACTTGACTGTTGGAGTCTTCTGCTGAGCTGACTTTTTGGTGAGCGTTTGCATGGAATACAAATACCTTTACATCCCTTACCCGTATGGAGATGTCCATCCACACACTTCCCCAGCTGTGTTGTCACCAGTTCTCCAGTCATGTTCCTTCCAAGTCCTTGACCATCTGGCCAGACCATTGACGATGGCTCATGAATCAGTGCACAGTCACAAGTCTGACCAATTTTCACTTCCAAGAAAATGTGTAACCAGGTGCACTGTCCAAAGTTCTGCCCACTGTGACCACTTCCCTTCACTGTTGTCCTTCAGGGATGTCCTGAAGGGGCTGGGATGCTTCAGCTGTCCACTTGTGGGGGGTGCCTATATAATGTGCAAGACCATCCATAAACCACACTTACCCTTCTCTTCCTCTGACACTGACCATAAGGTGCACACCACAAGGCCACAGGTGCATGCTGGGAAGCAGAAGGCAATATGGCAGATGTAGGAGCCATGGGCATTGGGGCAACTTTGTCATGTAGTTTACGTGTACCCTCTGGACTGCTCTGGCCTGATCATGTATATACCACTTCCATTTAATGATAGACTGTTGCTGGGGAATCCAACTGTCTGACTTTGTGGATCAGATAATTCCCAGCTTGTGATGGGCAGCTTATGTCACAACCAGTGTTCCATGGTCAAGCGTTCAGTTTCCACAAAGGCCCAGGAGCAGGCCAAAAGTAGCTGCTGCAGATGATGGCAGAGCTTTGCTCCAAAATCCTCAAGGCTTCTGCTGTGATTCGCCTATCGGGGCCTAAACAGCATCTCTACCTGCTACTGCCAGGTACTTCAGGTACCACTTGCTGTTACTATAGCTTGTGTCAAGATGTCCCCCCAAACTCTTATGCAGTCATAGGGCAGGGGGGCTTTTCAGAGGTGGCTGATCTGGAGTGTGTGATGTGGAATGAAGGGTATGTGATTACTAAGTCAGTCCACTAATTGGTTTGTCATAGTTTTGGCTAGGATTAATGTGTGAGTGCTACACCGCCCTAGGGCAGGTGCTCTGCATAAAATAAAAGGGACAGAAAGAGGGGGAACGTGATCTTGCTTGCCTGCTTGCTGTGGACTGTTTCTTTCTGCGATGCTCCTCCGCCAGGTCACCCTGCCTTGGAGCCAGCTGGCTATGGACTGAAACCTCCTCAAGCTGTGAGACAAACAAACTTTTACCCTCTAACTTTGGGTATTGGGAATTTCGTCTCAGCAATGAGAAAATGGCTGAGATAGATGCGCTGGATCATACGGCACCAGCGGCACAGCGGCCTGGACCAGTTGCAGAGGCTGCACTTGCTCTGGGCCCACTCAAAACTAGCAGTGTTCAGGGTCACTCGGTAAGTGGGCCGGAGTAAAACATCTATGTGGGGAATGTTGCCTCCAAAATCCAAATAGGACAGCACCTGAGGATATAGAATCTGTTTCTTGGAGAGACAATCTCATCAGATTTTAAGAGTTTGACAACCTTGGCGCCTTGTGAGGTTCCCTCCAGTTAGTCTCCACCCCAGTTTATAGGATCAGGTTCTTTTTGCACCAGCATCCTCACTTTAACAGCCAGCATCTCTGAGGCTGTGCTAAACGTGTGCCGTAATTCAGCCAGGTTACGAAGGCTGGGTTTGGTTTCGGCAGCGTCAGTCCTCCAGCTAAAGGACAGGTGGTTCTCCTTCAGGACACAGTTGGAAGCCTGGAGGTCGCTTCTGCGCCTGGAACTGGGAATCTGAATCTCTGGGCTCAGTATTCTCCTTTAGGCAGCCAGTGGTACATTTCTTACTCCTCCAACAAGGCTCACCGGTATATAGAATCATTACATTTTTTAAGCTCACAATTGGCCGATTAGGATAGTCAAATGGATGATTTAGCATATCACACCAAGGACCACCAGTGCCCTCTCTAAGGCTTCCTGCGGACGGACAGGACTCTCCCAGGACCCAGCCTGTCTGCAGCAGAGGCACTGTTCTCAGCTCGGTACCGGGGCCCTCGGCAAACACAGGACATTGTAGGGAAGATGAGACAGAGAGGGACTCTACCAAACACGAGGCATCTGAAGACACCCAGACATCTACACTGACGCCTCAATGACTTTGCCCACCGAGGAGACAGCCAGAGAACTCTGACCACTGAGGTTACTAAGCTCTTCCTGCCTAATGCCCCTTGCCTTCTTTTAAGCCCTATTTTTTAAAAAAGCCAGCTTCTCCTTGTTCCCTACACACAGCCTTTTTGCCTGCCCTGTCTGTGTGGCCCAGGTCCGGGCCCGGCTGGATGCCTGAGAGCCTGGGTGTGGGGGACATTTCACGTGTCACTTAGCCTGTGGATGAGCAGGTCACAGGCGTGTGGTCTCACCTCAGAGCCAGCTGTGGAGAGGGGTGGGGCTCCTCAGCTCCTGTCTCACTCTGAAAGCCCTGCAGGTGCGGGACCAGGCTCTGGGGCCTCTTGAGCTGAGATGAACCTGTTTTCATTGTAAACTGGCCTTGCTCGGGTGTCTGGTGGCAGCAACAGGACACACACCAGGGCGGGCTGTGCCACGAGTCCTGGCGTGGCTGTCACATGAGGGCACTGGACCGAGGGCACTGGCCGTGGTCTCAGCGTGCGTCCCCTCTGTGTCTGGTTTCTCCTGCTGGGTAAAACTGGGTCTCACTGGGTGTATTATGCAAGTTGGTTTTCAGAGCTGCAGGCACTTGTACGCCACCTGTGAGACCTTACCAGGCCCTCATTTTACACAGGTGTAGCCTTCATACTTAAAGACGCAGACAAGGCAAATGGAAGCATATTCATTTAAACAGGTAAGACAATCATTTTTTTTTTTTTTAATTTGCAGTTCTAAGGCTTGAACCTGGGCGTTTGCCCTGAGCTATGTCCCCAGCCCTTTTCACTTATTTATTTATTTTTATTTTGGTAGAGTCTTAATAAGTCACTCAATTGTCCAAGCTGGGCTTGAACTTGCGATCCTCCTGCTTCAGCCTCCCGGGGTGCTGGCACTCCCAGACGTGTGTCATCATGCCTGGCAGACAAATCACTTTAAGTGGTAACATCTGTAAAACCAGATTTGAGGGGCTAGTTATGCTGTCCCTAATGCGTATTCCAGATCAGTAAGCTGTGGTCGCCTGATGAGAGCTGTCTGCGGTGACGCTGTGGAGGCTGTGGATGCTGCCTGGAGACGCATTTCTGTGGCCGCGTTGGGTGCTCCCAGCTGCTTTCAGGTGTGAGTGAGCCCTGCTCGAGGCTGCGACACCCTCACCAGCTTCCGCTCAGGTGTGATGACCGATCTTCCAGGTCCTCTGGGCCGGGCGGAGGGCTCAGGCGACCAGCTGCTGGACACGTTGTGGGTAAGGAAAGACCTCGGTTCCTTTCCTTCTCTTGTTTGAGACAGGGTCTCGAGGTGTAATCCAGGCTGGCCCTGCACTCAGGGTAGTCTTCTTGCCTCAGCCTCCCGAGTGCTGGGACCGTAGGCATGGGCCTTCATACCTGGCAAGGCCTCTATTTTTACTCCCATGCAAGGTCGTGACCTAAAAACTCCATCCCAGGCTGTCCCAGAGTCAGCTCCCGTCTTGGGGTGGTGCTGAAGGGCAGCGACTATGGTCGCTTGGTTTTTTTTTTTTGGTACTGGGAATTGAACTCAGGACCTGGCACTTGCCAGGCAGGCGCTGTGCTGCTGAGCTCAATGTCCAGCCCCGATTACAGCTACTGTATGCCCAGGGAGATTGTGCCGTAATTATTGCTCATTTGTTTAATACCACCCAAGGGCTTTTAGTTCTCTCTGGTATACTAGTAGCGTTCAAAAATATTCTTCAAACAAATAATATTCCAAACTGTTGACAAAGTGGTTCAGTGGCTGCAATGTGAAGCCTTCTTAAAGGAGAGGCCCAGAAGGGTTCTTTTTGAGACAAGGTTTCTCTCTGCAGTTCAGGCTGGCCTTGAACTTGCTTACGTAGCACAGTTTGGCCTGGAATCTCTAGTGACCCTCCTGCCTCAGCCTCCCAAGTGCTGGGTTGAAAGTGTGTGCTACCATGCCCGGCTGCAACTTCTTTTCTTATTGAGTTAGTTTTGATGACACATTTTTTTCAAGTCCGCTGTCCACCCTACTCTGTGTCATAGGCTCTTTGGGGCTGGGGTGGCTTGTCAGTGACAGGAAATTGTTTCCTGTGGGGCTGGAGACCGGGGCATCTGAGGAGGAGGCACCATGGGGTCGTGTACGGTCCTGGCCCACTGTCTTGCGCCTCTTCCATGGGGTCAGGGTGCAGGGCCAGTGTCCCTCCCCAGGGCACCGATCCTGTTGGGGAGCAGCCCTGGCCTCATAAGCCATCACCTCCCACAGGCTGCACCTGGCCCTGTCACCGCGGGCTTTGAGCCTCCACATTTGAAATCCATGGGGACACAAATATGCAATTGATTGCGATCAGATTTTATGCCTATAAGCTGTTCTCAGAATTCTCCAATTCTTAAAAATCTTCGCTGCATCTGTAGAAATGTCCCCTTTTTACCTCTAACATTGGGCTTTTTCTCTTTTTCTTCCTTACCAGTTTGCCAGTTTTCTTGTTTATTTTTAGCCCTTAATAAGAGCCAAATTTTGGCTCCACTGCTTTCATCTGGTTTGGCTTTTTCTCCGCATCCTTTGGCCAGCAGTGTAATATCTGTTTGTGGAAAAATAAATCCTCTAGTAACCACCGGTGTTGCTCTGTGCAAACAAAAGTCCCCTTACCTGGGACATCCTAAAAACGCACCGGGGCGCGGGGCGTTCCGTCCTTTCAGCTCATCCTCTACGCTCTGTGCAGGGTCCTCACTTGAGTTCTCCTCTGGGGACCTTTCCCCAGCTCCCGCTCGCTTCCTTTCAGAACTGCTAAGCCCTGCTTTGCCCACCGTCAGCACCGAGGCGCGCTGATTCTGCACAGCTTGGGCCCATGCAGCCTCTGGATGGCGACCGGGACCTGGGTGAAGGGGCAGGGGCCTCCTGGGTCTTCCTGTGGCTGCCGTAACAACCCACCCTGGACAGGGAGGTGAAAAACAACAGAAAGTTAATTTTCACAGCCTTGGAGGCTGGAGGTCTTCCTTTGCTTGTGGCTGTGGGACCCAGATCCAGGGCCTTCACACTGAGCTGCACCCTCAGCCCTTGAAAAAGACTTTTTTTTTGGAGACAAGGCATCACTGCATTGCTAAATTGTCCATGTTGGGCTTAAACTTGTGATTCTCCTGCCTCAGCTTCCCGGAGTGATGGGATTATGCCCAACTCAGAAGCTGGATGGTGCTGTCTTCTGGTTACAACCCTCGTCTGTGGTGGGGGGGAAGCTTGGTGACTCTCTTGAGTCTTTTCCTGAAGGACTCTGACCCTCAGTTCCGATGGGTCGATTGTTGAGACACCCCCTCCTTCTGACTGATTGCCTCCTCCCTGAGGTGCACCTCAAACACCATCCTGGGGGTTAGGACTTCTGTATGCGAATTCAGGGGTGCATAGGCATTGAGCCCACTGCAGCTGCCCAACCACATCTGTCTCATCCTCTTCCTCCCATGGCAGGGTGACCTTGGCCAAGGACATGGGTTTATTCACAGGAAGAGCCCAAAAGGAAGGGGTCCCTCTGCCTGAGAATACCCTGACCGCCTTGGCATCCACCCCCTGCCACGTGACAGCACAGCTCTACCCCCACAATGAGGTGGTGCCAAGATGTCACCGCCTCCATGATGCTGGTTCCAACCCCAGATAACCTGGGCTGGGCTGCTGGGCTGGTGGGATCTGAGGTGCTGGTGCTCAGTGAGAAACTTTAAGAAGCATGTCCCCAGAGTGTCCCTGCAGGACAAAGGGCCAGTGGCTTCCTGCTGGCCCAGCCTTGAATTGCTCAGGGCTTCTGACATTACCAGACTGGGCTCCATGGGGTCAGGGACGCCACGGCACAGGGTGTACAAAGCCCAGCACAGCTGGCTTGAGGGGTGGCGCTGTGTCTGCTGGGGTTGCACAGTCAGGGGGAGCCGAGAGGACAGCAGGAGGGGAGACTGATAAAGCTAGAGTACAGACCCCAGCCCAGAGGGCACAGGCCCAGGGAGATTCAATTGGAGCCATGGCCCAGCCTGAACCATGCCCTGGGAGGGGCACCAGCACCGTCGGGGTGCAGGGTGGGTTAAAGGCTTCAGATACTGGGTGCTGTCACTGTCAGGGGCCAGCGAGGATAGTGCAGGGGAGATGGAGGACCCAGATGAGGCTGTTTGGGGGAAGGGTCCCAGGGGAGGGGCCAGGACAGAGCCAGGCAGCCATGGCCTGGCAGCATAGGCGGAGGCTGCGGCCCTGTGCCCTCAGCTCCTCTGCTGTAAGGGGTGCCCCAGTGTCACTGGGTGCTCCTGCAGTGTCCTCTGGAAGCCGAGAGGGCGAGGCCAGCACCTCAGATCATGCATATGAGATACACGCATGTGTGTGTCCGTGCACGCGTGGGCCCATTTACATGTCCATGCACAACTGCGTGTGTGTGTGAATGGCATGGGGTCCCCATGTCCAGTTCATCTGAGCTCTGCTCCAAACCTGACTCTGCGTGGTTTATTTACATGAATGTATGCTTTCCCCCTTTTGGCTTAAGCCACTTGAGTTTCTCATAACCAAGAGTCCTACAATAAACCAACTTCCTGGTACCTCAAGCTTTTGGCTAAAATTACCACCCCCAACCCCTCAGGATATACTCTTTTTTTAAAAAATTTTATTTAAAAGGAAAAAGAGAAAAAACAAAACAAAACAAAGCGGTGTAAGGGTACAAGTAATACAGAACTACAAAAAAAAAAAAAAAAGTAAGAAATCACCAGTTAATAGATTACATATTATCATCTTAGAGATAGTTGTTCAAGTCACAGTATCAAAGCATACAAAGTGGACATTCAAACAGTGAGACTGCAAACAGTTGTGTTCAATGATCCAACCAAAAACATTAATATGGTCAGCTATTTAACACCCCTAAACACACTTGCTGTTGTATCTTTTAGAGCACTTTTTTTCCTTCTCTTTTTTACAACAAAATTTACACATTTTGGGTTTTATTACTACTTACTGGATATACTCTTTTAAGACACAATCATAGGCCCAAAATTACTATACTATCTATACCATACGTATAGTATATATCTGTACTATACTGTTACGTGCACTATCACCAGAAATATGTAAGAACATCTTACTTCATTGCACCACACCAGATACTGAATATTACAATCGATTTAAACTTCTGTGGGCTGTGTAGGTTTTAAAGATGTTTAGTGCTGCAGGCACAAAACCAGACCCACAGGCCAAGCTGTCAGAATAGAGGCCCCCGAAACACTTTCCTCCTTGGCGCCCCTCCACTGTTTCCCAGGTCCCTGTCACCCCTGTCCCGCCGAGGCCTCTCACCTCATGTGGCTCCAGTCCTTGTTCGTGTCCCCTGCCCATAAGGGAGGCCTTACTTCGGGGAGGCCACGTGACTGTTAACTGTGGTGCACCAGCTCGATGGAGAAGGAGCCACCTAGAGACCAGTGTGGCACAGTTCCGGGGTGTCTGACAACCAATCAGCTTGCAGCCAGGATGGAATAAAAAGGGAAAGAAGGAAGCATGCTATCCTGGAAGAGCTCCATCTTTCCCAGCAGGTCCCTCTGCTGCGGTGGCCTTTGGACGCTGGCCTCCAGGTCTCCAGTGTCCTCGGCCTCCAAGGCATAGGCACACAGGTAGCGCCCAGGGAGCTCCGGGCCTTCAGCCTTGATGCAGCCCCGGGTGTGGCTTCCAGAGTCTTGGCTGAGCTCTGACCAGATCCCCGAGTCTGCCGCTGCCCCTGTGGATTCTCTGTGTCTGGCCCTGGAAGCCTGCCTGATAAATCCCCTCCCATGATATCATAAGCTATATATTCTACCGATTCTATTCGTCTGGGGAACCCCAACTGACATAACACAAGAAGGGAAAGCTCTCAGTCTGTCTCCAAAAAGGTGTCTGGCTAGAATTTCAATTTTAAGCAATAAGGCGTGTGAGGACATTGATTCCTTGAGCGACTACCGGGATGCAGTGAAGAAGTCTAAGTTGTCATGTGGTAAACATTTTTAGGGCTTCATAGAAACTCACAAAAATGAGCATATGTTTCAGCACTTAAAAAAACACCATGTAAAATGTTACAAGCAAATTTTCTTGCTTTAAAGGCCAAGAATATCTAATGTGTGTTAAGACTTTACTATATGCCATTAGATTTCTGTCCATGTTTGGTAAATAATTCAAAATTTCCGAGTTTGTTGTTAGGTCAATGCTTTTTTGCTGAGGACGGCTGTCTTCATGGAGACTAGACTGAGTGGTGGTTGCTTCATGTAGGGAACATAAATCCTAGGGAAATCGGGCTGTAGAAGGCCACTCAGAAACTGGCCTCTTAAGCTTCGGGAAGGAGCTCCTGCAGTGACAGAGGCCGTCCTTAGCAGGCCTGCACCATTTCATGGTAGACCAATGGTTACACCACTAGATTTAAGGTGAGATGGGCTTGGACCCCCGGTTTGATCAAAGCCAAGTCCAAGATGAGCCTGGCCCACTGGCTCAGTGTCTTCCACAGAGGGCTCTGCAGGGAGCCCACCCTTCCATGTTCTATTTTTGTTAGACTTTAAAAATTATAGTTCCAAGCATCTAGGAGGGAAACAGATGAGCAGGAGAGGGACTTGTGGTTTGAAAGATTTACCACCTGAGAGTAACGCGTGGGTAGTAATAAGTAAACAAACTGTAAAACATTTGAAAAATTCAGCAATGCTGCTTACTCAAGGATGTTAAAGAGTTACTGGTTTTTAAAAAGATGTATTAATGCACACCTGTAATCCCAAATACCTTGGAAGGCTGATGCAGGAGGATCACAAATTTGAGGCCAGCCTGGGAAATTTAGCAAGACCTTTTGTTAAATAAAAATTTAAAAAGGGTGAAGTTGTAACTGAGTGGTAGAATATTTGCCTAGCATGAGGCCCTGGGTTTAACCCCCAGTACCACCACCAAAAAAAGAAAGAGAAAAAAAGCAGTACTGTATTGTGGGTATGTTTAGAAGAGCATCCTCCTCTTTGAGGGCACCATATTTAAATATTTGTGAATGAAATGATAAGATGTCTGGAACTAATTCCAAATAAACATGATAAAAACTGAAGACTAAAGGCATGGCAGGAACTGACAGTTGTTGAGCCCCTGGTGGGAGTTCATCTTGCTGTTTTCCCTAGCTTAGTGTTGGCTTGGAATTCACCATAATCTGAGTAAAAGCCTTTGACCCCAGGGAAGTGTGCGCTCCTTCTCTCCCTCTTAGCTCCCCGCCTCCCTGCTTCCCATTCTGTTCTGAGCCCTTTGTTTCATGTTTCAGGAGCTGGGATCGAACTCATAACTTTGTGCTTGCTGCCGGGCAGGTGCTCTGGCCGGCCCATCCGGACCCCTTCTTTATGGAGTTTGCTCTGCAGCTTCCCTCACCCCGGGCGCTGCTGAATCCCACCGAGGCTCTCCTGCAGCTGCAGCGCTGTGCACCGCTGCCCGGTAGCTCCAAGTCTGGGCCTGCGCCCCGGAGCAGGGCTGTCAAGGATCGCTCACAGCCTGAGGCTTCCTTTCCCTACTAGAACTTTCCAAGGGAGCAGAGACAAGCAAGACTGGACACAGCAAATGATGGCCTGTGTCCCCACTGTCTGGCGGAAGAAGCCAAGCATCAGGACTCGGGCTTTCCCAAAGAGGTCATCCTCGGCTGGGAGTTTATTTATTCCATTGATTGCTGCTGGATTTTTGATAGGAAGCAGTAGGCTTTTGAATGATTGAGACTCCACACGGAAGATAATCACACTGTATTGATTCGGCTCTCCTGGCGGTGTTCAGGGTGTGAGGAATTCATCTCTGAGGAACTGATTTACTGTTTATTTAGACAACAGGGATTGAACCCAGAGCCTCCCCATGGCGCTCCATCTTCAGTTCCTTTTTTAAAAAATTTAAATTTTGAGAAAGGATTCCCTAAGCCACTAAATTGCCCAGGCTGGGCTTGAACCCGAGATCCTCCTGCCTCAGCCTCAGAGTGCTGTGATTGCCATCCCGCCTGGCAGAGAATTTTTCTTATTTTTACATTTTACTTTGAATACTGAGCCTTTGTTAGTCATATGCTTTGCAAATATCTTTTCTAGTGTTGTTTTTTCAGCATAACTCATGATATTTTATGTATGGAAATGTTCAATTTTGGGGTAGTTAAATATTAATTTTTATGTTTTGTCTTATAAACCTTCCTTTCTGTCTTGTTTGGATATTCTTTTTCTCACAATCTTAAAGATATGCTGTTATATTGTCCTCTAATTTGTCTGAAAGCTTTGAATTTTTAGATACTTAATGAATCTGAAATGGAGTTTTGCATTAAATGAGGTCCAGCTGCCCTTGGTATTGTATGTTCTGATGTGATACCGGTTACTAACCAGCTGATATTTATCCTACTGCCCTGCAACACCAGAACTGTCATATATTATGTTCCCATACAGGAGTGGGTCTGTACCTAGAATTATTTTTTCTTCAAATCAAATAAATGATCTATACATTTGCGAAGCTAGGTTGCTTTACTGTCATCTTACAATAAACTTTGACATCTAATAAAGTGTGTCTCCCTGCCTAGCTCTGCTTCATGAATGTCTTGATTATTCTTAGCTTCTACATAAAATCTGGAAGAGAGTCATTAAGTTTCACTATAGCACTGTTGGCATTTTTATTGGAATTTCATTGAATTAATTAACTTGGGAATTTGAAAATGTTTAAAACATCGACTTTTCTCATCTACTTACTGAGATTTTCTTTAAGGTCTTTCAGTAAAGTTTTTTCCAAATAGGTTTTGCACAGTTCTTTTTTGGATGTATTTGTAAGTACCTTCCAGTGTGGGAGCTAGAGCAGATGCAATTTTAGTTTTTCTAAGTTTTCAGCAGTGGTGGATGGCAGGGAACACAAACTGTAGCCTGTGGGTGAAATCTGGCTTGCTACCTACTTTTCTAGGTAAGACGTTACTACAACTCTCCCCCATTTTTTTACAGGTTATTTATGTGTGGCCGATTCTGCACTACAGTGGTGAAGTTGAACAGTTAAGGTAGCGACCATAAGCCTGCAAAATTTAAAATCTTTACTACTTGGCTCTTTGTAGAAAAGACTTTCGTCTTTTAGCATATAGGAATATCCCTGGCTTTATATATATATATATTCAAATGACTGAGTTGAATTCAATTAGTGCTAATGATTTCTCAGTTTGTTCATATATACTGTCATATTTTCTATGATTAATGGTAGTTTTGTTTTCCCTTCCAGATCTTAGCTTGCTCCTTATGAACGATGTTTAGTAGAAACGGTGATAACTGACCACTTAGCTTTGTTCCTGACTTTAAACAAAATGCTTCGAACATTTCACCATTAACTATCAGGGTTGCTTCCAATTTTTGGTAAATACCATATATCCTGTTAGGGAGATTTTTTCCAATTATTCTATTTTTAGTTTATTCTATTTTTTTTTTTTTGGCTTTTTTGTTTTTACTGGTACCAGGGATCGAACTCATGACTGCCTGCTTTTGAGGCAGGCACTTATGCCACTGAGCTAAATCCCCAGCCCCGTTTATTCTATTTTTAGTTGCAACAGCAAGTAGAAACACCAAAATGATACCCAGGATTTAGAGGCAAATTTATTTATGTCGACAGGCACTGATCAGTGTCATTCCCAGGGCACCTGGCTCTGACTCTGGTGGTCTGGGGTTCATATAGGGTAAGCAGGCCGGAAGTACAGCGGCAGAGCTCAGCTGGGGATTAGTTTATACAGTGTGCATCACAGCCAAGGATGGATTTGGGCTAAATCAATGTAACCTGAGGCCATTAGGGTTTGAGGAATTGGGGCTCCACAGCCACCTGCAGTACACTGTAAGTTCAGTTCCTCAGGTAAAACACTGCACTGAAGACCTTCGGAGTCGCTCCGGAGACCCACAGATGAGCTTCCTGGGGGCTTGGTAGCTTCCAGGGGAGGCTCAGTGTCTGCCAGTGCAGTTTCCGCCCTGACCCTGCTGTGCGGGCAGTGGCGTGGCAGAGGGGTGGTGGGTGTGGACACCAAGCACATCTTGGGATGCTGGTGCTTTGTTCTGTACTCATGCTGCATCTAACCTCAACGTGCCAGACAGCAAATCTGATTCTTTCCTGTCGCTGTGAAACTCGACGGTGCTTTCCTGGGTGTTCTGTTACCACCAGTTAACAGCTACGTGTTGTGCAGACCGAGTGGAAAAACCCAACTGTATCTGTGTGTCTCTGAACATCCTTAACCGCTTTTAAGAATTCAGGGAAACCACAAGCCAAGTGGCTTGCCCCGAGTTTTAAGAAATGCCTTACATATGTGTTCCTTATTTACCACTAAGTGTTCCAAATCTTGCATCGTAGGAGTTAAAATATTGTCCAAAAAACTTACTGAATCATTTTGAAAATGTTCTGCTACAAAAACAGGAAGTCGCAATCTATCCAGTATCAAGTGAATTTGACTCGAGAGGAGCTGGGTCAGCTTTCAAACTCGAATTTATAAATGTGAACTGGTTCTAAATCAGGGTGTGTACGAGTGCCCTACTTTGGAACTATTTTCCTCCTCTGTTGGTGTCCACCAGGCACACTTCTTAGGCACTTGAAAGCTCAGTGGTGAGAAAAAGAGGTCTGTGTTTTGGTGACACTGGATTTGGGGAAGGAGGAAAACACTTCTGAGGATGCGGACTTGGGAATACAAAGTGTGTGATTCAGATGTTGTTCTGGTCACTTGTTAAAGCCACTGAAATCAGGGAAATGAACACCTAGTAATTATTTTAAAGGTGCATCTCACACATCACTTCATATTTTATTTAGAAGAATTCATTGCAAAGGTCCTAAGAAGTGTAGACGGTGTATGCTGAAGACTGATCCTAATCCTATGACTCTTTGGGGGAGAATTGAACATATTTCACTCTGAGGACGCAGCAAAAGCTGACCTAAGTGTTATGCTTTATAGTTTAGGTGATGAAACTGTCCAGAATATTTTGAGTATGAAAAAGGCATTAGCTTTTTAACCATCCCACATTAGAAGAGAACTTCAACTAATAAAAATGTAACTGAGGGCGTCTTATGTGACCTGTATGCTCTGGATGAAGGCAGAGAGTCTGACACAGGCCTTGCCTTCCAGTGACAGACAAATCGTCCTGTAAAGTGGGATGTCCAGTGGGAAGGTGGTTCAGGTGCAGTCCATGCACTAAGGAGGGCAGAATTAACTATTGGGGGCTTCATGCCCGAAACCGGGCCTGGCTCAGGGTAGGCGGTAAATGCTGGCTCCCTCCTGCCCTGCCTTAGAGATTCTGCGTTTGCCTTCATGTACAAAGAACATGGGGCCACTAACCAAGCCCAGGAGGATATGGAATCTTCTAGATTCTTCTAGAATCTTCTCCCAGTGGAGAGGTAAATTAGTAGAGGTTTCTCTGCATCGCAAAGGTTTGATCCTTCTGGGAACTACTGCCCAATGTTCACAAAATCGTTAACCGGTGGAGTGGGCAAACTGTAGGAAGAGAAGACCCACAAGTCACTGCCCAGCCATAGCCGGGCCCCTGAAGGTGATCAGGCCGCATTCCTGTCTCTCACTGCTTTCACTTCTGAAAGCAGTGGTTACTAAATTCTTTCTAAGTCTCGCAAAGACATGAGGCAGGAGTCTCCCAGAGCTCGGGCGGGCAAAGGTTTAGACACAGGCTGAGGGCCGGGAGGCAGCGGGAGGAGCTCACTGCGAAGAAGAAAATGTTTGAAGTCTTGGGTTTATTGAACAGTGTGCACATTTACAGCCTATGCTGCGTTCCACTCACTTGTTTATAAATATATGAAACCCAAGCTTTGGGTTCCTTACCAGGTGAATGACTGAACTCCCCCAAAATCTGGTAAACTGATGCTCAAAGCCCAAGAGCCTGAGATTTCCTGAGAGCTTGCTACACCAGATACAGCAACTTGGTCTTTTTAATGAAGAATTTGTAGGAATTGTTAAGTATCAGTAACTTGGTCTTAAGGAAAATAAGATTCTCTTAATGTGATAATAAGATCTACTTAGTAACAAAGAGCACCAACACGTGGCCAGTTAGGGCCCCGACATTTCTGTGCCTCTGTTTCTCTTCCATGACTGTTGTGTTTTGAAGTCCCTGGTGGCTTCTTTTGGTTCAGCAGTGAGACACGGACTCTGTACTTGAGTCAGCAGCACAAGCGTGAGGTCTGAGATGTGGTGGGGGACAGGAAATGCCTTCCTCTCCTTGAGCCATCCCGTTGTCTTTTCCTCATATGGTGCCAGTCTCTCTCTCTCAACTCAGGTTTAACGAGGTTAAATTATCCGCTCAGTTGCTTTCATTAAAAAAAAAAAAATGTTTACTCTGCATCTACAAAGCAGCAGACACCGCACAATGAAGGGGAGACGGGAGGTGAGTTAAACACAGCTCCTGCTGTACAGGGGAGACAGGAGAGTAAACAGGCAATTACAGGATCAGGGGGTAAGGGCAGCGGTAGGGGTTCACAGCGGGCGCTGACCCTAAACCCAGGGAGACGCCTCATCCGAACTGGGGAGGTGGGGAGAGGCTGAGGGGTGGCGAGGCGGGACTGCAGGAGGAGTGGGCTTCCCCATCGGGGCCACAGGGTCAGGGCCAGGGCTGATGCGGGGAGGGTGGAGGGCGTGAGGGGCCGGGGAGGCTGCCACCGCCCCCGTTCAGGGGGAAAGCAGGTGCCAGGAGGCATCCAGCTCTCTCCAGAACCGAAGACGCTGCTCAGTGGCCCACCTACCCAGCTCGCCAGAAGTTCCACACGGTGCCTGTTGCTGCAGATGGTATCACTGGGGTCTCCAGGTCACAGAGTCTCACAACAGATTGTTCTTCTACTGGCCTTTACATTTTTTTAAAATTTATTTTTCATTAAATTTGTATTAGGACATGTTTGATCATGGGGAGCTGGCGTGTGTGTATAAGTTTTATTTCCTCCTCCCTCCTCCCAAGATCTTGAGATCTTGATGCCATTTGCAAAAGCTCTATTTCCCTGTATCTTTTATGCACCCTGTATTTTGCTCTTTAAATTACTTATGCTTTAGAAACCAGGTATGGTGGTGTATGTCTATAAACCCAAAACTTAGGAGGCTGAGGCAGGAGGATTGCCATGAGTTTGAGGCCAGCCTGGGCTACCTAATAAGTTTAAGGCCAACCTGAACTACACAGCAAGACCCTGCCTCAAAAAAATTACTTGTACTCTGGGTTTCTCATATGAGAGGAACCAGGAGATACTTACGCTTTTGTATCTGATTTATTTCACTTAGCTTTATGGTCTCAAAGTGGGTCCATTTTCTACAAGTGACTCAAATTTATGCCTCTCTATGGTAGACCCATACTCCGTTGTATATAAATACCACTTTCCCATTCATCTGCTAATGGATATGCAGTCCTTTTGTAGCACTGAGCTGTTATGAGTTAGGGGCCTGACGCATGTATACTCGTACAATGAAGATAACGATGTCTTTAACTCTTCCAGGAAGACACCCATCAGGGGAAAAGCTGGTGGTGTGCTTTCTATCCAGATGCTCCTGCAAAGGCTTAAGTGGTCAGAGGTCAGAGTTC